CTACATATCATAATAAAATTACTGATAACCCAAAACAAAACAAAACACTTTTGTGTGTATGGAGTAAGGTGATGGAATATTAGACACAGGAAAACAATGATTCAAAGATGATTGACTTCACACCATAAACAGTGGAGGCCAGAAGACAATAGACCAAAGTCTTTAAAGTGTTGAAAAAAACATTAACTCAGAATTTTATTTCCAAAAATAATTACTTTCAAAAAGAAAGAAAAAACAAAGACTTCAAATAAATAAAAGCTGATAATTTGCCATGAGCAGAACTTGTACTATAAGAAATGCTGAAGAATTTTCTTCAGGCTGAATAAAAATGATGGCTAAAAAACTCAGATCATCCGGAAAGATTGAAGAGCAGAAGAAAAGATAAATATGTAGATGCATTTAAAATAATATCCTTTTATTCTCCCTTAATTCTTTAAAAGACAACTGCAGTTTTTTGTTTTAAAATTGTGTATTGACAAAGTATAGTTGTGTCTATTTATGGGGTTCACAGTGATGTTATGATCTTTTGATACAATGTGTAAAGTTTAAGCTAATTATCACCTCAAATATTTAATATTTTTGGTGAAGAGAACATTAGAACTTCACTCTCTTAGCAATATTGAAATGTACAGCACTCAGTTATTAGCTATATTCAACATGCTATGCAACTGATCTAAAAAAAATCAGATAAGGTTGTGTCCTGAGTTCTATAGTGTATGTAGATTTGACATTTATTTATTTATTTATTTATTTATTTTATTTTATTTTTTTTTTGAGACGGAGTTTCGCTCTTGTTACCCAGGCTGGAGTGCAATGGCGCGATCTCGGCTCACCGCAACCTCCGCCTCCTGGGTTCAGGCAATTCTCCTGCCTCAGCCTCCTGAGTAGCTGGGATTACAGGCACGTACCACCATGCCCAGCTAATTTTTTGTAATTTTTTTTAGTAGAGACAGGGTTTCACCATGTTGACCAGGATGGTCTCGATCTCTTGACCTCGTGATCCACCCGCCTCGGCCTCCCAAAGTGCTGGGATTACAGGCTTGAGCCACCGCGCCCGGCCTAGATTTGACATTTATAACAATAGTAGCACAGAAAATGAGAATGGATAGGTTCATGGGGTTAGGCTCTAGCATTTTAGGTCGGCTGGACAAAATATTAACTCTAAGTACTGTGATGACTTCCCAAGATGCATATGATAATTATATGTAAATTACAAAAGACAACCCACAGAGGTGTAACTAAAAGCCAAGAATGAATAAATAAATAGGTCGGGCACAGTGGCTCTCATCTGTAACCCCGGTACCTTGGGAGGCTGAGACTGGAGAATTACTTGAGCCTAGGAGTTCAACACCAGCCTCGGCAATATACTAAAACCCCATCTCTATGAGAAATACAAAAATTAGTCAGGTGTGGTAGCACCTGCCTGTAGTCCCAGCCACTCTGGAGGTTGAGGTGGGAGAATTGCTTGAGCCTGGGAGATCCATGCTGTAGTGAGCTATAATTGTGCCACTGTACTCCAGCCTGAGCAACAGAGTGAGGACACTGTCTCAATAAATAAATAAAGACTTAAAATAGATTGCTAATAATAAGTAATTAACTAACTTAAAGGGGCGAAGAAAACTTTTCTGTGCATTTTACTGTATGTAACTTTTAACTTTAATAAAACAAGGGGGAAAAAATGAACAAAAAACAGACTTAGTGGATCCCAGAATATTGGGGGAATGGGGATTTAGAAAGTTATATTTTGTAACAACCTCCCCCCATAATTGTGATGATCATCCATGTTTGAAACTATTACTGTAGGTAAATCTTGCCAACTTTCCTGTGGTTGTGAAAAACACAAAGCCTCTTACAAGGCTGTTCTGTCCTTCATATAGACACATCACTCAATTGTGAGAGCAGTGGGAACCTCAGACTTAACAGCTGAGGGAAGCTGGATATGGCCTAATGATCTGTAAGAACTATGTTGTCAAAATAACAGCAGCTATGAAAGCCTTGGAAAGGTTAACAGCTTGCTATTTTCTTTTTTATTCTTATATACATCTTGCTAACTTTTATCTTCCCTCAATTTGTCTTTTATAGGCATCTGATGGAGAAAGAATTATCATAATCTGACACTTCCATTTTTATAGGAAAAGAGAGTTGCATGGGGAATATCAATGTCCTCTGCAACTCACACATTTATGGTCTAACCACATTTGGCACCGAGGTTTTAAAGAGACAAGTCTGTGGCATATACAGTATTTCTATAAATCCAATGCTTTGAGGAAGATGGAGAATCTGTTAGAAATGTAGAGAGACCAGCGAGACCTGCAGTACATCATTGGCCAACTCATGAGAGATTTGATGTAAAACTGTTTCTTGTTCTTCTGGAAGTCACCTTCCATTGTGTTGAGGCAAATAAGGAAACTTTCAGAAAAAAAATGCTGATTTAAAATCAGGACAATAATGTATAGTGCCTAGCATGGAGATTACATGTGCAAATCTCAGTGTAGATAAAAAGTGTAGAATTTGTAGATTATAAGTACCCATTTAATGTAATATGAGGAAAATTTTATAATCATTTCAGAAACATTAATTGTTTTCCAGCAACCTTCTAGGCTGGTGGATAAGGTTCCATATTCTTAAGGTATATAATCTGATCAAAATCCTCTAATTTCATAATGAGTATCCCGATTTAAGGTTATTTCTACTAAATATCTCCATATCTAACTCTGAGTTAAATTTTTTTTTTCATTCTTCCAATATTTATTGAGCAACTAATGTGGTTCAGGCTCTGTGCTATCCTGTGAGGATACTATCCCTAACCTCATGTATCTCAGTCTAATGAGGGATGCACACAATTTAAGAGACAGTTCGGAGATATTACGTTAGGTACTGTAATGGGGAAGTACAGGCACATAAAGAGGGCTGTGTAACTCAGAATGGAAGTTAAGGAAAGCTTCCTGAGAGATGTGGTCTCTTAAGGCAAGATTTAAGGAATGATTAGGATTGGGAGGGTAATGTGGGAAGAGGATGAAGTACAGAATCCTGCTTCAGGAAGAGGAACAAACATGTGCAAAAGCCTAGAGGTGGGAAAGGGCATGGAAAATTCAGTAAACCCAATATATCTCAGTCTATTGAAACATAGAGTGAGATTGAATGAGAAGGTAAGAGAGAGGCTTGTGAGGAAAGCAAGTAGTAGATCATGGAAAATGTGTAAGTGATATTTAGGAATATGTAGTTTATTCTAGAAGCAACTTGAAGTCATTAAAGTGCTTTCAAAGAGAGAATGGCATGGCCATATTTGCAGTATAGAAAGATAATTCTCATTGCAGTGCAGAGAATGGGATGGAAAGGGAGTTTGGAAGCACTGGGGTCAGAAAGGCAAGTGAGGATATTGCTGAATAATCTGTGTGACAGGTAATGGCAACCTAAACTGGGATGGTGATAATGGAAACAGCAAAGAGTGGAGATTCCTGGAACATTTAAGAGGTATAATTTCAAGACCAGGAATATAAGAGAAAGATCATTGAGATCTAAACTGAGTTATAACGGATATGAGTATCAAAAGAATTTCTTAGAAGTGGATTCAAAAGAACTGAGATTACTATGAAGTAAAAATTAATGTTTAATGGAAGTAACAATGCAAGAGCTGGAAGAATGTACTCAAATGGTGGAACTTTCAGGTTAAGATTTCACAGGTGGAGATAAAGCCCAGGATATGGCATTGAGAGTCTGTAACTAAAGTGGAGTAGAGGTGAAGATTACTGGAGACAAAGCCAAGGAAATAGTAGGCGTAGTGCTGCATGAGATTTTCACATTTTTTTTGTATCATAAAATGAAAATTGAGGCAGAGATGAAAACTGCAAGTGAGATCCTGAAGTTTTCAGTGAACGAGAATTACCAGGAAGTCAGTTCATGAGAGAGTTAAGAAGGAATAGAAGTTTGTATAGACTAAATGACTTCATACTAAATGAGCTTGTCTCTATTACTCAGAATAAACAGAGAAAAATTTCCTTCAGTGACATTCTTCTGACATCTCCCAGATGGAAGCTCATTAGTAAGTAGTTGCTCTTATCAAAGTTACATCTTTGACATCTCTTTAACTGAGTTAACCTCTGCTGATTCACCACTATATTATTCCTTTAAATTCTAATTCTCCTGATGTTCTACTAGTGGTTTCTCCTATCCTAACATTAACAGCCCTTTGGAAATGTGGGCAAGTATGTGTGCGTGCGTGCGTGCGTGTGTGTGTATGCACGCGGGCGCGCATTGGGTGGAGGTAAAGGCCATTCTATCTATACAGTTTTGTGTCCTGTTTTTGCTTCTTAGAAATAATGACCTTTGGGTCCAAAAGAGACAAAAATGGGTCATGTGCTGAGAAGTCAGCTAAATATGCAATGGACATAGACAAGCACCAAACATTGAGAAGTAAAGTTAAAGAATTGGGAAGGAGATGTTGAGTCTCCACCCTGTTTTAGATAGACTACTATATTTGAGATTCTGGATTCTCAGGACTTCAACGGAGCCAGAATGAAATTATAGGTTTGCAGGACTTAGTCTTTCTATTAATGGGTGGTATGGGGAAAATGAAAGTGGGATGGAGAGGCAAAACAGGATTTACAAAAACAGCAAGCATGGGAGCCTCTCATTCCAAAAATAAATGCTGTAAAATGGGAAATTCAGGGTCTTCTTCTTTTTTTTTTTTTTTTTTTTTTGAGACGGAGTTTCGCTCTTGTTTGTCCAGGCTGGAGTGCAATGGCGCGATCTCGGCTTACCGCAACCTCCGCCTCCCGGGTTCAGGCAATTCTCCTGCCTCAGCCTCCTGAGTAGCTGGGATTACAGGCACGCGCCACCATGCCCAGCTGATTTTTTGTATTTTTAGTAGAGGCGGGGTTTCACCATGTTGACCAGGATGGTCTCGATCTCTTGACCTCGTGATCCACCCGTCTCGGCCTCCCAAAGTGCTGGGATTACAGGCGTGAGTCACCGCGCCCGGCCAGGGTCTTCTATCTGACTGCAGATGGTGACACCATTGAGATAAAAAAATTATAGCTTATCATTTCTTTGCCCTTAGGGGCCCTTGTAGTTTCATTATAATGATTTTAGGAGTTAATTGTTTTCAGCTTGGGATTCATTGAGCTTTCTGAATTTAAGTACTGATGTCCCTTGGCAGTTCTGGAAAAGCTTTAGCCACCATCTCTTCCAACGTTTCTAGTCTTCTTTCTGGAACTTTGAATAGCTGTGTATTTCTTTTTTACTCTGTCATTAACTTTTCTTCCTTGTGCTTTCACTTTCTGGATAATTTCTTTCCCCTGCTGATTCAATCTTTTTCTTTTCAGCTATACAGATTTGCTGTATAATCCTTTCTCTGGGTTTCTTCATTGTAAGGTTTATCTTTTCAATATCTTGAAGTTCTGTTTTTTAGAAAACTAAAGACAGGACTAACCTAACTTAAAATTTCCCCTCAAACTTTCTGCAGACAAGAAAAATGGTGATAATTTGAACTAAAGACTCAAGAGAAAGCTTGATAAAAGCTATAAATCCTCTAAGGAGGCACCAAGTTCTGGACAGATATATTTCTTTGTGATCCTCTTCTAAAGGAGAGGATTTCTTCTCATTCACCTTTGCTCCGATGGTTTAATACTCTGGGGCCCAAGCTGTATTAAGGCTTTAGGCTTTATCTCCTTCCTCCTTCCACCCTAGTCCTGCCATGGGGTTGTAAGAAACCACTGAGAGCAAAGCTAGTTTTGTCATTTACTGCCCAGTGTTTCTGCTTTCACTTCAAAGTTGGCCTCTCTACTCAATTTTGAGCCAGATCAGCTAGGCATGTAGAAATATTTTCCGATGGTATAGCTGGCACTATTGTTTCAGCAGGATGACCATTCAGGGTCTAACTTAAAAGACTTTAAAGTGAAGCAGGCAGAAGTCCACTTCTGAAAGAGAAAAGATACAATGGCTTCCTGAGAGTGACAGTAAAGTTACTGAAAGTAATGGGAGCAGAAAGTGTTTGTACCATGGCTCCTGAATTCACACAGGATGAAGCAGAAATCTATTCTTTGACAAACATGGAGGTATGATCAGAAACTAAGACAATGGCAATAAAGAGAAGGCTGGCTTGTGTCAAGGAAGCATGATGTGTATCTCAAAGAAAAAGTGTATTTTATAATGGAGAAAAAAATGCTTCTCATCAGCAATAAGACTGAGAGCTCTGCTCTAGAATATATATATGTGTGTGTGTATATATATATATATGTATATGTATGTGTGTATGCATATGGTTAAATATGCATTTAACAATATAAATGCACTATATATACACATACATATATATGTATATATGCATATATAGCTATATGCGTGTGTGTATGTGTGTGTGTGTGTGTGTGTGTGTATATATATATATATGGCATTTATATGGTTAAATAAAATATCCCTTTATTAAAAGTTTTAGAAGTTCCAATCATAATTATGAGAGCAAATGATAAATTTTAACGTTGTTTCTAAATTAAGTGTTTTCTATTCCTTAGGAAAGAAAGAGAACTATCAAAGCAAAACCAAAAACAAAGGAAAAAGCTACAGTGGAATCTACTTATAATGGGAGGTAAAGTGGAATTCGAGGAGTGCTTTATCTTTGAAGGAAAGAGAAAAGGGATAAAGTGGGTAATTGAAATCATAAAGGAGAGAATGGGGACAATAGGATAAAAGTATTAAAAGAAAAAATCCAGCCAAATCAAATGTAAAGGAGTTTAAAATTAAATGTAAAGGAGTTTATGAACAATTTGCAAATCGAGAAGCCCCCAGAATCACAGCAGATACAGAGACAAAAAAAGTAAAGTGAGGTACACCAAAGTGAGGTACAGAAACAGCTGGATTGGTTACAGCTCAGCCTTTGCCTCAGGAACACAGTTTGAATGCTTGACAGTGTATAACTGGTTGAAATATGTCTGCTGGGATTGGCCAAGACTCAGTGATCATTATAGGGCATACTCTTAAATTTTCAGACTTGTCTACCTATTAAGTTAGGTTGCATGTCATCCACAAGAACTCAAATATAGAAGTATGGAGTCCTTCTCAGGCCATATTTAGTTTGCTTTAACAGGAGATAGAAATAGCAGATGATATAATGAGCAAAAAATAAAAAGAAAGAATAAATGTCAGATTGTATAAAAGGAATGAGAGACTAACAGAAAAATACACAATAAAGATGCTTGAAAAACTCAGAGATTACCTGAAGAAAAAACTAAATTGACCAAAGAAATATGTGGAGATGAGGAACAGAAAAGTAAAGAAGAAAATGAGTTCAAAGCAGAGATGAGAAATGGAAATCTTGAGAAAGGGAAAAAAGCTCAGTCAACAAGTGTGTGTCTATGACTTTGGATTAGTTGTGTGGCTTTAGATGTATGTCTTCAAGGAACGTAATTTCCAGTCTTTGTGGGCACATACTAATTATCCATCCACAGGGCACTTCGGTGTTTCTTTCTTAGTAGTATAAAACAAATTGAGTAAGAGAGGAAGAGCGACCTTTCCAAGGGCAATGAAATGAACTTTCATAAATATTTGCTTATAGTTTATTAGTTTGTATAGAATTTGACTTCCTCCTTAAAATTCTTTAAATGACTTAAAAATGAATCCCTTGAATGACATGTTATTTGAATTAATACCTAAAAGAAAAAAAATATATTTTTCTTACTTTCCCATAGACTCTACAAACTGGTATTGTTTAGATTCCTATAGGGACAGGCCCTGTGAGATTTTACTGCAATTTGTGACACATAATTAAGAGAAACATTAAATTCATTTATTTGAAAGGAAATAAAATCCCTCACTTAAAATCTGATTCTTGCATGAATACAAGGCTATGTACTTGAAAGTATTTTGGGATATACTCTAGGCTTGCAAATATGCAACAAAAAATTACTTAATCCCACATATATGTGTTGGTTTTGAATGACGTTAACTTCATTGAAAATGTGTGACGATGGTTCCCTCAAAACTAACTTACATTTAAGATGACAACGTTAGCACATCTCTAACTCCGTCTATGCAGATTGCCATAAAATGACAAAGTGGTTGTTTAACAAAAATAAATACATTTTTAAAGGAAAATCAACTCTTCATCAATGCAGTTAAATTTGAAATTGTGACAGTCACTCTCCACAAACGTTGGGAGATTTCTACTCCATGTAGAGCAAGTAGAAGAGGAGTAAAGGAAGGGCAAACCTAACCTGCCACCTTATACCAAGCGTATCTGGGAATAAGCGGAGATCTCAACATAACCCTTGGTGATCACCATGAGGGGAGCTGGGACCTTATCTGGTGCCCAAGACACGATGACCATGGCACATACTGCTGACTTAATGTTTTCCAGGTTACACACACACACACACACACACACACACACACAAACATACACACAGATACACACACACACACACACAAACACACACACACACACACACACTGCCCTAGCTTAGATAATTTTAGGCTGTCAATCAAAACAAAGAAAATAGTATCTCCAAAGAAACAATGTGTACCACCTCCTCATTTCCTCCAATCTGTTGGATCCCTTAGTTGGTCACGATTTATCCCTTTTCCTCTTTCTTTGGATCCAACAAATGAAGAAAGGGATCTATACCAATGCCTGATGGACTCTATTTCAAGCATAATTCTCCCTTTCTATGATGGTATAAACAGAAATGGGAAAATTCATTTTCAGAATTATAAAAATGCATTCCAATTCACAATAAAGAAAGTATAAATATTTTCCTCTTAAAATGAGTGCAACAGACAGGAGGAAATTTTAGGAAGTGTTTTTTCCAATTTTGTTCAATAAATATGTATAATAACTATAATTATAAGTAGTATTCAAAGTATTTTCAATATAGCAACCAAATGATATCCATTCAAAATAATCTAAGATATCTCTCTATAGCTCCTTCCCTCTTTATGCTTAAACCCACAGGGCAGCATTGGAATCAAAGGATGTGAGTCCAAGTCTTGGCTCTTCAAATTCTATCAGGTGAATCTTCTCCAAAATATTGTTTAGTATTTTAATCTTTAAAAATGAGAAAAAGTATTCTACGTTGTTATGCGTTTGGCAGTTAATGTGAAAATTTTATGCAGTGACATAAAAATGCTTATCCCCTGGAAGATTCTAAATACATTTTACTCTCTTATTTTCTTCTCTTTTCCTTCTTTCCACCTTCCCTTTTCAATTACTGTTTTATCTTCTCCACTTCATAACTACATTATATATATACTGCATTTTCTTACACCCACCCTATTCTCCATACTGAAGCCTTGTCATTTAAGTTAATCTCTGCCCAAATCTGACCAAATTCACTTATCTTCTTTCTAGTTTTTCTCTTTTGACTCTCTATTGTCTCTCACATCAAAAGCTAATATTGGGGGCTTTTTAATTTTTTTTTTGGAATTGTATGTGCTATCCTGGCTTGGTTAACTCTAACTTCAGTTACACACCAAATTCACATAATAACTTAGAATAACTTTCTTGAGTACGCTAGTAGTGTACTCAAGAAATGGCAAAGCATTGTCAGAGAAATCATAGTTGTTAATAAATCATTTAGTCTGCAATGTACAGGGTGGCAGTTAATATCATGAGGTCTGGAGCCAGACCTTGGTTGAGAATACTGCTTCACCACTTCCTGGCAGTGTGAGTTTGGTCAAGTTTTTTTAACTCCTATGGCTTCAATTTGCTTAAATTTCCTTGAAGTCTTGAGTTTTAAAGGGAATAAGGAATGTAATGCAATCAGCACAGTGCCTTGTACATAATAGTAGCCAACATTTGTGAACACTCAATAAATGTTAATTCATATTAATTTGGGGATTTTCCAATTGAGTGTGAGAGTTAAGGCACAGGTGAGTGACATTACTGAGAATTGCTTTAATTACTTTTTTTTCTGTTTTCATCTCATTCTTTTTCATTACAACTCCTTTCTTTTATTTAAAACCTGGTAAAGTTCCTAAGAAGTGTGAAAATAACTTTCATCTTTGAGATTCAGAAACTGTAGTACATCTTCAAACATTTATAAACAGAGAAAAATAATTTTGTCAGTATGGCCACTTAGATTGTATTAGTCTGTTCTCACACTGCTATGAAGAAATACCTAAGACTGGGTAATTTATTAAGAAAAGAAATTGACTGACAGTTTTGCATGGCTGGGGAGGCCTCTGGAAACTTACAATCATGGCCGAAGGCATCTCTTCAAAGGATGGCAGGGGAGAGAATGAGTGGCAGGAGGGGAAATGTCAGAGGCTTATAAAACCATCAGATCTCATGAGGATTCCCTCACTATCATTAGAACTGCATGGGGGGAATAGCCCCCATGATTCAGTTACCTCCCATGGGTACCTCTCACGGCACATGGGGATTATAGGACTACAATTCAAAATGAGATTTGAGTGGGGACACAAAGCCAAACCATATCATAGATATACTTATTTAAATTCTAAAGACAGGCCTAAAAACTATTTACTAGAATGAATTACATAACATATTGTAGATGAAGGTGACACAAAAGGTTTCTAGTACAAAAGTGTTTCTTTACTTCTAGCATTTTGAGTTTCTCTATTTCATATTTGATCTGTTATCAACAACTGAAAAGTATTAATCTGGCAAGCATTAATTAAAACTCTTGACTTCAATATTTCTATAGGTAAGTCAGATTTTTCTGTGATTTGCGTAATTTTCATTGCAAGGCTAAAGCGTTAAATTTGGCATTCTTCTGTCTAAATTCATTTTAAGTCACACATAAACATGTCATTTGCATGTTGATTAACTGCCACAGTTTCCTCTGTAACAATCTCAGTTTGGAAGTGCACCTAAAACACAGCTGAACGGATTTCTATTAGTTCCAAAAGCACATATGAAATAATTGTTGTTTTTTTAAAGAAAATCTGTAGTCAATGTGCAAATTATACATTTTGTTTATATAAGCAATCTAGAATGGATGTTTTAATTATGCATTTGTTTGTATATAAAATGTGGACTTACAAATCAAGGACTATAAATATAGAAAAGATCTATCAAAACTAAAGTGCAAACTTCATGTGATCAAATTAAACAGTTTGGCTTCAGGAAGCAGTTAGGGAGCCTACTCAGGCAATCGAACCCAGTAGCATTACCTTCTGCAAGGCAGGTGAGGGAGCTCTTCCCCACAGTATTCTAGACTAACCTTGCAGAAAAAAATCAGGTGCAAGAAGGCAACTCAGTCAGAGAAAATACCCTACAAGTTCAAGCAGCTTCTTGGCAATGCTATGTTTGGAGAACATGAGAAACATAGTTAGATCCTTTCTTGAGTTTATGAAGGTTTTCAGAGAGTCAGAGGGTATTATGTTTTGAGAGAAAAGTAAGAAAAATGAAAGCAGATAGATAGATAGATAGAGATACATACATACATAGCCAGATAAGGCAGTACGGTGAAATAGAAAGTAAAGGATAAGGAATGGGGAAGAAAAACAGTTTATGAGTGGTAGGCCAGTAATAATTCTCTTCCATTTTTCTCATGGCAAAATTGCTTTCTGGTTTCTTGAATTAAAAGGAAGAAAATTGTTATGTGGAAATTACTTCTGTCCCATGGAAATACATTTTGTTTTATTTCCATATTGAATAAAGAACATGAATTCCTTCAGTCAGAATTTCAAAGATAATGTCTTCAGAAACTATTATTTACATTTTATTAAACAATTTTTTCCAGAATGTTTTCAAGGTTTGCATGCTGCCATTTTGCCTGGTCTGCTCTGCTCCAGACAACTGGCTGATTTATTTCCTGAGTCCAGGGATGTGTCTTTTGCTGCTTCCTCCTCCTCTGCCTTTTTGGCCTCTCCTTCCCTCCACCATCATCGCCATCCCTCCAAGTCCACACTCTTCTTCCTGCCTTGATGCCTCTTGATTCACTTACTTCCCCTATCTTTGTTCACCATGTGTATCTTGGCTTTTTCTTTCTGCTATTCATATTCTGTATTTTTCTCTCTCACTTTCCCTTTTTTTCTCTTTTCCTCCTGCATTGAGAGCAATATAAAGTTGACCTATTTTAAAAGATTTGATTTGTACATTAATAAAATTCTGTGGTTTTGTTCTAATTTAAAAATAGGGTAATTTTAATTTAAGAAAAAAAACAGTTAAACTGAGGCAGGATAAGTAAGATTTGGGGGCTGTATTAGTTCATCCTCACACAGCTATAAATAACTATCTGAGATTGGGTAATTTATGAGGAAAAGAGGTTTAATTGACTCGCAGTTCTGCAGGTTGTACAAGAAGCCTGGCTGGGAGGCCTCAGGAAACTTACCATCATGGCTGAAGGTGAAGGAGAAGCAAGTAGGTCTTATCATGGAGGAGCAGGAGAGAAAGAGAGAAGGGGGAAGTGCCACACACCTTTAAACGAGATCTCATGAGAACTCACTCACATCACGAGAACAGCAAGTGAGAAGTCTGCCCCCATGATTCAATCACCTCCCACCAGGCTCTTCCTCTTATACGTGGGGATTATAATTCGAGATGAGATTTGGTTGGGGCACAGAGCCAAACCATATCAGGGGCCATATTGACTTGCCCCCTTTTGTGGAGCCCCAGAGGCCCCTCCACAGCCAGCTCTACATCCCTCGCATCCTCGTGTGCATCAGCACCTCTTTTGCGAGGTAAGCAGTCCTACAGGATACTAGCAAACCACCAACCAGATGCTTACAATTTCCTGCTATCCAGTTGGCCTGGGAAAGAGAACAAAAGTTTCTTATTCCTAATGGAACTTCCCCATTCTCCAACCAATCAGCACCAATAGCCCAAGAAGCTATTAGCTACAAATTCCTACCAAGGGCTGGGTGGAGCGGGGTGGAGACGGGAAGAAAGGAAGCGGAGGGGTGGCCAGGGGCTTCTCTGGTGTCTTGTATGTGCAGCTAGGGTCAGGGTTTAGTTTTTACTAACCTTTTCCTCATTTTAATAATAATTTTTTTAAAAACCTTAGGTAGAGATTTTAAATGCTAATGATACACACGATTTGCATTAGGGCAGATACATGTTACAGCTGAGCTCACGCTCCAATGGCAGGTCTGCCTTTGCATATTTGACCTCACCAGGTCATATTTTATGAAAATGTATGTACATCTTCCATAAAAGGAATTCTTTTGAGCCACTGGCCGCTGTCTCCCTCTGAGTAGCTTGCTCTGCCTCTCAGAGTGTACTTTTGTTTTGCCCTAAACTTTACTTACTCTTGCTTTAGACTTGCTCTCAAATTCTTATGTGTAGTGAATTCAAGAATCTGTACCTGCCCACTAGCAACAAAACCACAGTGAAGTAAGGATATGTGTGTGTGTACATGGTGTACCTTGTGTGTTGTTAATGTTGCTTAGAATATTCTCCTCCTTCACCAACTGAGTCTCTGGTTCCTCTAGTTCATCCTTCAAAGTTCAGTTCAAATTTCCTTGAAAGTCATTTCTGCATGCTCCCCTAACTCCCAGTTTAAATTGTCCCTTTCTACTACACTCCCTTAAGTTTCTGTGATATGCCATTAGTTGTGCTTCAGACCTTATAAACATTATCTCATTCTAACAACTCTTTAAGGATGGGTCATCACCTTTAATTTACAGATGAGAAACCATGGCTCAGAGAGGCCAAGGAATTTGTCTCAAATACTCTGGGAAAATACTCTTCTGCCTCCTGGCCTTAGTTCTTGCTGTTTCCTCTGCCCGAGATGCTCTGTCTCCAGATCTTGGCATGGTTGCCTTTTTATTTCCAGTCATCTTTCCACTCACAAGTCACCTCTTTGGAGAAGCTTGCTCTGATTCCTTGATTACCTAAAGAATCAAATTCCTTGATTACCTAAAGAATTCTGTAAAATATGTGCCTGCTTTTTTTTCCTAATAGTTTTTACTTTATGAGAGTAACTTGTCTGTTTACTTGTGATGGTTAATATTGAGTACAACTTGATTGGATTGAAAGAGGCAGGCAAAGTATTAATCCTCGGTGTGTCTGTGATGGTGTTGCCAACAGAGATTAACATTTGAGTCAGTGGACTGGGAGAGGCAGACCCACCCTCAAACTGGGTGGGCACCAGCTAATCAGCTGCCAGCATGGCTAGAATAAAGCAGGCAGAAGTTGGAAGGGCTTGACTTGCTGAGTCTTCCAGCCTTCATCTTTCTACTGTGCTGGATGCTTCCTGCCCTTGAACATCAGACTTCAAGTTCTTTAGCTTTTGGACTCTTGGACTTACACCAGGGTTTGCCAGGGGCTCTTGGGCCTTTGTCATCAGACTGAAGACTGCATTGTCAGCTTCCCTGTTTTTGAGGTTTTGCAACTTGGACTGGCTTCCTTGCTCCCCAGCTTGCAGATGGCCTATTATGGGACTTCACCTTGTGACTGTGTGAGCAAATATTCCTTAATAAACTCTTCTTCATATATGTATCTATCCTATTAGTTCTGTCCCTCTAGAGAACCTTGACTAATACACTTGTTGACTTACATATTGTTCATCTATTCCGCTAGTATTAAACAAGCATAAGAGTTTAATCCTCACCTCCTGGAAGTGTCTGGGGTTATCATAGATGCTCAAAAAGTATATAATGAATAAAGAATTGAATGAATAAATAAATAGGGAAATCTTGGACCTGGCCCTGTGACTTTTCTATTTCATGTTCTTTCCAACCCATCTTAATAGTTTGTACATCATTTAAGATTGTTTATGCTGAAATACGCATATCCTTAAAACGTTATGCTAATACTAACTGTATCATGTCAGGGTTCTAGAGAAACAGAACCAATAGGCTGTGTGTGTGTGTGTGTGTGTGTGTGTGTGTGTGTGTGTGTAGAAAGAGACAGAAATTTACTTCAACTAATTGACTCACTAAATTACAGAGACTGGCGTGTTCAAAACCTGCAGGGGGTGGCCAACAGGCAGGAAATCTAGAGAATACCTGGTATGGTAGTTGAAATCTAAAGGCAATTTGCTGGCAGAATCACCTCTTGCTGGGGAAGGTCAGTCTTTTGTTTTATTTAGACCTTCAACGGATTGGATAAGGCCCACCACAGATGGTAATCTGCTTGATCAAAGTCCACCGATTTAAATATCAGTCTCACCCAAAAAACCCTCACAGAAAAATAGCTTATATTCCTCAAATAACCAATCTACATTTTTTCACCTTAATGAAGTAATGAAATAATTTAAATCAATAGGCATTTGAAAATTTAGAAATTTAAGTATTGATTAATTGGCTATGACACACAGGGCTCTGCTTGATGCTGGCCTTAAATAGGCGAATGAAATAGACAAATTTCCTATATTCATAGAGCTTCTTATTTGGTGATAAACATATTCATATTATCATATATGATTTTCTTGTGTAACATCAAAAGACACAACCTCAATTTTCTCCACACAATGTCACTGTTACAAATTTATGGAATTGGTTTTTGTTTCTCTTCACCCTGTAAGTGTGTCCTCAGCCTTCTTGCCCTTTCCTAACAGTTGCATCTGTAAAGAGCACCGTTGTGTTTACCAGAACCTTAATATTATTGCTGGTTAACTTGAATGAGTGACTGTTAGGCTTAGGGCTTCAGTGTCTTTATTTATAAAATGAGTGTAATACTTTCTACATCGTCACAATGAGATGGGAATGCAATCACCAGAAAGATATAAGGTTTTAATGGCGAATGGTTAGGAAACTTAGAGAAGCAGAAAAAGCAAGGAACAGACACATAAAACCGGAGTTAACACAGTGAGATTCCAGAGGCAGATGTGACTTCTCATGTGACCTCAGCATTGCAGTGAAATTATGTAGCTTCAGATGATACTGCCTAAACGGAGCAAGAACACCATCAGGTAGGAGAAGCTGACTTTGTCTTTCTCAAGTTTTTTTTTTGTTGTTGCTGTTGTTATTTTTAAATATATCCTCATGGTATCAGCTAGGCTGTTCTGGAGATTCTGGCTACATGCCTGCTTCCTCACTAGGTGCAAATAACTACTGCAAAACAAAATTAGCACCTTCTCCAGTGTTTATGTGGAGGTGGGATGAGGCGAGGGTCCATTACTCACAATCAGGCTTCAGCAGGCCTGGGCTTCAAGCTCTGTGAGTACCCCTCCTAAAAACAACTAGCTCACAAAGATAATATGGAAATGTTGGAAACACCTAGCACATAACATGCACTCAATCAATTAAAAACTGGAATGTTATGACATGTATCATTTTGTCTATAATTCTATAGGTATATTGCTGTATTACTAGATTGACTTGAAATGATAATATTCTACGAGTTGATTTCTTTTCATTACCAAAGTCACATGTAACAGCAAGTTATTATTATTGTCATTCTATATGTTATTATTCAGTGCATTATTCAGCATGCTATACCCAGAACATATTCAGAATTTTTATATTTCTAACTTCTTGTGCATTGACTATTCCTAAGTTCCTGGGAAAAAAGAGGGACACTATTCCCCTTTGCATGTAACTAATACTGGTGGGTACAGAATATTTTACTCATTATATTGCTCAGGAACAACAGTGTAATGTACATACTTAAAGGTGATTCAAATATTTAATTGGTTTTAGTAGGAAGGAGCTTTTCCTTGATTCTTTTCATGTTAAGAGTAGCAAATTATATTATCTCTGAACACAAATTGTGCATTTTAAAAAGCCATTCCATTGCATTATGTCACATATAAAAACATGCAAAACTTGTTTTTTTTTTATGTATACTTATTTGTACTTTCCACAGTCTAGACGTAAAACCACTTTATATTCAACCCCAATACTCTTACCATATGCAGAAACTGTTAACAGGACAGCTGTCTATTGGTAAAATTAAGAGACGATTAAATAAAGTGTAAAAGCAAATCTGATCATGTCATGTCTCTCAAACAGCATGACACCCCCACAAACAGAAACACACATGCAGAAACATGCCCCTTAAATGCTTCATTGACTTGATTTCTCTCTCGGGGTAGAGGCAGAACTCTGTATCATGTCTCTGAGGCCCTTTTGGATGTGTATTCCCTGTGTCTTCAGCCCCATTCATGCCACAGAGCCTTGGCACTCTCTGTGTTAGCCACAGTGACCTCTTTCAGCCCCTCAACTGAGCACACCCTTTCCTGCCACCATGCCTTAGGACATGGATGTTTCCTCTGCCCAGAATAATCTTTCCCCTCCCTTAGTTAGTAGTTAATAGCTAAGGGTTCTTCAGAACTTCTTTATAGAAGTTGTTTTCAATTTCTGGTTTAGTTAAAGTACTCCATTCATAGATTCTAAGCATCGCATATCTCTTCTTCAAATTTGTGCCCACTGCAATTTCACATGTGCTTATATGAACTCTTAATTACCATGCCTGCCTCCCCAGCGCCTAGCACTGTGCCTTGCAGTAGTAGAAGCTGACAAATATTTATATCAAAAAATGAAAAATGGGTATGAGCTGTGTGTGAATGAAATTATTGAAATGTTGGCCAGGTTTCCACAATATACATTTGTGCAGTTGAACTATCAGAAGACATAATACATGGTTTAATTTATCTGTTTGAAATATGGACATCAAAAGATTTTTGTGAATGAAGGGCTAATAGTTTCTACCTTTGCTTTGAATTCCTTAGGGCAGCTCCTAATTTGCCAAATGCCTTTGATGAAAATGTTTGCATTTTCTTGTATTTTTATTTGTTTTCTTGTCATCCTTAGGAAGCAGAATGCCTGTTTGACTCACCCTGACAGATCAGCCATGGCAGGTCTGCTGTTGTAGAAAATTCTCCACCCCAGAGGTTTTCTCTCTCCTGCAGGGAAGGCTCATGAGCAAATGCTGTCATTAGCAACCATGCACTGTTGAAGACATAGAGTGAGAAAATATGTCAGGCATTGTTTCCATGTACCAATTTTAGTAAAAAATCATGAAGAATTTTCAAGATATTAACTACAGATTAAAACAATTTTTAACCTAAATCCTGAGAATTTCCCTTGGCATTTTGATTTTCTTTTTGTCTTTCTTACCCATCTTTTAAAAATTAAATCAGTTGCTTTTGTTTTTCTGAGAAAGATGCTTTTATCTGAGGATTTTCTAAGCTGTACTATTAGATTTCACTTACCTTTTTACATAGTCTATTTCATACCTATTGGTTTAAGATCATCAAAAAAATCTTTCCTAGAGCTAGGACAATATGCATATCAAGCTTCCTTATAGAAAAGCTCTATTTTTATATATATGCAAGCATACCTCACTGTTTTTGCATAACAGATAAGTAGGTAAATATTTGCTAAATTAATAAGTGCTTAAAATAGTTACATGTATGTATACCTTTATCCCCACAAAGCATTCTGGGAAATAGTAGCACTTTACATAATTTGGTGAAGACATTGTGTTGTTGTTGTTCTTTAAAATTTTCTAAAGCCATAAACGAGAGTAATAATTCTAGGCTCTGCATGGGGCCACAAACCTGGGTGAATGCATAGACTTGACCAAAAAAGGAATTCCCTATAAAAATAGCAGTGCCTAGAATAATAGTCAGGATTAAAGGCTGATTTATTATGGAAACTTCTAAGATAATTGTTTCAGACTGTTTTCTTTCAGGTTTTAATTTCAAGGGTTATCTATGTACTGTTGATTATAAAAGAAATATTTGGCAGGAAAGGGTTTGAAATTCAAGTATAAGAGGTGGTAGGAAAGGGCCCATAGGATGATTAACATTCGGGCTTGTAAATAAATAGTTATGATTGGAATTATCTTATCTAACTTCATTAGCATCTGTATTTGGTTACAGAATTAAAAAGCAGGCTGTGTGCTTTTTAATTTTTTAGTGGCTCACGCCTATAATCTCAGCACTTTGGGAGGCTGTGGGCAGATCACAAGGTCAAGAGATGGAGACCATCCTGGCCAACATGGTGAAACCCCATCTCTACTAAAAACAAAAAATTAGCTGAGTGTGGTGGCACACGCTTGTAGCACCAGCTACTCAGGAGGCTGAGGCAGGAGAATCACTTGAACCCCTGAGGCGGAGATTGCAGTGAGCCGAGATCGTGCCACTGTACTCCGCTTGGCGACAGAACAAGACTCCATCTCAAAAAACAAACAATTAAAAAGCAATGAAAGTAAGGAATCATTAAAAATTTAATCTATACCTTAAACATCTTACTTTAATCTAAAATATATAAATGTTCATTTATTCACAAAGCTTTTGGGATGAGGCCAATAACATGAGTTCTGTTTCCTGAATGAAGGTCCTTACCTTCTTTCTTGCATAAACCACACACCCATAATATATCATTTACATTTCTAGTTTGAGTTTCATTCAAGTTAAGAACTTAATATTTAATAAAGCAATCTAAAAGCATAAGCATTTTTAACTTTTTATCATAACATTTTATAATTTTCTTACATCTAACAACATTTTAAAAATCAAATCTTTCTGAAACATTTAAAGAAATGACTATTTTCATAATGAGATCTCATCACTTTTTATATAATGTTAATTAATTTGCATAATTATTATGACAAGTACAAGTGACTTTCACAAAGAAACAGATAACTGATTTTGATTTTGGTAAGTAACATCGCTCAAGGAGAGGGTTGGAAGCAGAAGCGCCTGAGTCTCCTATGGAGTAGCCTGTCAGTGAGTGGGCAGCCCCTTGGCAATCCATGTGTTATGGGTGGAAGGAAGAGCATTAATTAATCCAATCATTTGGTTAATTCTAACTGAACAGTATTCTTTTAAAATTTACATGTTCCTTATTTTAAGAATAACATGTTTATTATAGGTATTTGAAAATAAAACACATATATACACATACACACAATGCACCACCTGGAAAAATCACTGTAAATATTTTCAACCATTTCTCCAATCATTCTAAGTCCATAATGCTCTCTTATGCAAGGACCACTTACAACACAGTAGTTTTTAAACACAGTCCATGTTTTTAGCTAATACTGCATATATCACATAAAAATAGGATAATATGCACTTAGAATGAGTTATTCTTGTTATAACTCATGAATATTAGTCAAGTGTTGGACCTATAGCTAGAGTTTCCAGATTTTCTTCTGTTGCATAAATCTTCTGTCCAAAAGAGATTTTTTTTTAAATAAATAATGTAAAGGACATGAATCCCTAATATGGAAATAATGTGAATGTGAAAAATATTTATTATGTTTTGGACTATAATATTTTTAACAGCACCTTAGGATTTTCAAATGAAGATATGTGAGTAGAAAAAAAATAGGGATGTCCCCAACCCTTCCAGGTAATTAATGAAAGAATTAAGATGAGAACCCAGGCCTTTTCTCAATATTGTAATATTTATGGGTACTTGATTAAAATATAGACATTATGATTTAAGTGAACAGTATGCTCTAATGGTCTGAGGAGATGTTTTCTTTCCAAATTTATTTCTTCGATTAAAATGGCAGGTCTAACATTCTTTAAGTATATTTCCCCGTAACAATTTAAAATTATAGAAACTTCTGTATAAGTAATTATGGGACAGCAATAAATGACCTCAAAAAATAAAGCTCTGGATTGCTTTTGCAAAATGGCACATGAAGAAAAGGAATTTCAGAACTTGTTAGAAATGAAAATGTCTTATGACATGTTGCCCCAAAGCCCTCCATAAAATGTTGAAGCTTAATTTTAGATTATACAACTTAAAGTTAAGAACTGCCTTGGCTCAGTTTGCTTTGTCAGGCAGCCAGCACAGTGCCACATGAAGATGGCACATAATAGACACTTTTTGATTGACTGTCTCCAATTACTTTTCTTTCTCTAATGTGATCTCCAAGTCTTTCTTAAATAGTGGACTTGTTTCATTTCTCTTCATCTCAAGCCTTAAGAGGAGAAATGTGTTCTCCTCCCACCTTCCATTTTGTGCTAGGGTCAGATAAAACTGTTTTACAGATCCCCTCAGTTTGTGTATGGCCCTCAAGGACATTCAAGGAAAAAGGGGCAGAAATGATTCAGTTTCCCATAACAGCATCACAGAAGGGCTGTCCTTCAAACTGATCTCTGATAATTTATTGGGTAGAGGTGTGAAAGTGATATGACTTGGTTCCTCTCTTTTATAGGGCTAGAGAGGAAATCTTTTTATGTACAAAAACCTCTATGGATTGTGGACACACTACAGAACTGTACACAGTTAAAAATCCAAAATCTAGAATAGCTAACAATTTTTAGGCAAAACTAATATTGTTTAGGGTTCTACCTGTAGTCATTCTATTAGGTTTAGCATGTTGATTATAAGCCTTTACAGTAATGATATGTACAACCTTTTCATAAAAGTTAGGGAATTTGAGTAGATAAAAGTGTAATAAGGTTTTTGGGTGAGGAGTGAGTATTTGTATTGACAGATTTGATTGCAAGCAACTGTAGAGCAACTCAACCTTAGTGACAAAGCAGCAGAGTATCTTATGGATTCCAAAAACAGAGGCAGCTGGATTTCAGGCACAGAACTATGTTCTGGAGCTGGGTGGTTTCTTTTTCTGAGTCTCCTTCATTTGTCTTCCAGGTTACAAGTTGCTTTTCTATGTGCCTTTATCTTCATTGGAAACATATTTACCAATAGCTCCCATGTCATGTCTAAACTGAAGCTACTCTGTGCACCATCTTTCTGTTTTTGTCCCAGTTGGGGGAGTTCCAGGTATGGGACTAATTGCTCAAGCTCTGATCAGTTTGACAGAGCCAGGACTAGGACAATAAACTGTTGGAGTAGTTGTACCTCCCAGAAAAGTGAGTGTGCCCGGGGCTGAGTGGAGGTGGTCATGGCGGTGGTAAAATGAAACAAGGGGTCCTTGTGAGTTCTTTACACTTTTCAAGAGACTAAAATCAATACAGCAACAGTAAGTCACTGGGCAACACCTAAATGTCACTATGCCCTTTGATTTTACACCCATTACCTTTTCAATCATTACAATCTTGTGTGTCAATGAAGTGAACACTCGTAACTTTTTCTGTTCAGAACCCCTTCTCAAACTTGGAAATGTTCTTACCATTCCTGCTTCTGTGAAATCACCTCTCTGTGTAATATAACTGTTCAGTGTCTGTGGAAGCTATACACTATTTCAGGTTGCACATTCCCTCTGACCACATTCAAAAGTTCAGGCATGCTCATCCGACCATGTCATGTTCCTGCCTAGGATACTGAAACTAAAAAAAAAAGAGAACTCAGCCTATTTTTCCCATAACAACTGATTGTTAATGCATAAATGAAAAAGGTGTTGGCAGACATATTTCATCATATACTTAAGATGGAAAGGAAGCTAGAATGCAGTGAGAAAGAAAAAAAAAATAGGCTGAGTGGTAGAGAGAAGCCAAGACAAGGGATGGATTTTGGTTCAGATTCATTTCCTGTACCTCCGTTCACCTCCTGTACTCCTGCAGGGCATTCTGTAGGGCTTCCTTGCCGGTGGTACCAGTGGGAGCACTCTCTGGTAGAAATTCATTGGCTCTTAAGTCCACGTTTACCTTCACTGCCTCTCTGACCTGTCTCTCCCATTTCTAGTTTCAATTCTATTACAAGCCACACTGTACTCCTGTCACTTTTGTAAGTCTCTGATGTTGAATTTCAGCTTTGTCCTGGTTTCATTTGTGGATCCAGCTCTCCCCTTCCCTCTTGTCCCCTGTATTCACTTGCAGATCTCAGTTTAAAACTTTCTTCTTCAAAAACATCTACTTTGTCCCCACAGCCTATGTAAGATACTTCTTTATGTCTTCATAGCACTTAGTATTTCCCCTATTCTAAGAGCTAACTTTGCCATGATACCTTCTAATTAAATGTATATTTACATAATTAAATTGCCAGTTACCACATAAGCACCTTGAGGATTTGAGCCATAAAATACTTTGCTCACCATTATACATCTAGCTCACCTAGCACAATATCTGGCACAGGGGAGGTAGGCAATAAGTATTGTGGAATAAATGAAGAGATTAATATATATTTGAAGATCATCAGGCTCAGAATAAGTGG